TAAAGCTCATCGCAATCGTTTGCATGTGGTACAGTTAATGTCGAACGTACATGTGAATGAGAAACTTCAGCACTCGTAGCAGTGCACACAAACACACCCGAATCTGCTTTCTTGACGTTCCTTATAATCAAAGAGCCATCTCTCACTTCATATCTACCAACAGGAAGAACGCCGTTGTCTTTTCTCCAACTGATGACAGGCTGAGGGTCACCTATAGCGGTACAGTTCAACACAACGATTTTCTTTCCCAAAACTGGAAACGTCTTTGGAGGCTTGACAACAAATACAGGCAGATCGATAACATTTACCAAAATTGATCCCAAAGCGGATCCAAAACGATTTTCAGCTTTGCAAACATATATTCCTGAATCATCTTTTTTAGCTTTTAGTACAGTAAGCTGTCCATCTCTAACAACGGAACGATTATCAGGCAAAGAACCGATAGACTTAGACCACGTGACTTTTGGTTCAGGGAATCCAGTCACGTAACAAGTGGGTAGACGAATGTCATCACCAATCTTTTCGTAGATTGGTCCTTTGACTAAGGACACTCGAGGACTAAAGTTCACTTCGATTTCTGATTTCTCTTCTGCACTGCCAAGAATATTAGAAGCTTTACACTGATACGTCCCTGAATCATGAATAGTGGCATTCTTCAATGCGAGTCTCCCGCTACTGTCGACAAGAAATCTTTCTTTTGGTAATGAACCATTGACTTTACTCCACGCGACAACAGGTTGTGGATATCCACTGGCAGAACAATTCAAGGTGGCCGACTGACTTTCATTGATGACCAAACGTGGAGGTGATATAATTACTGATCGTGGTGGTACTGGGGTCTGACCTGGTGGTCCTCTCGGTCCTGGTATTTTCTTTTCTAACTGCAAGGCCCCCAAGGCTTGAATGATCTTTGGAAGGTACATTCTGATCTCAGACAATTCAGACGCCATTTTTTGTTGATCAGGTATGACAGATCTTTTCTTTCTTTTCAGATGAGAACAAGGATCCTTGTTGATTTTGTCTTCGAAATCATTCATTCTTGTGACTTGAGCATCTAGCATCGACTTGATGTTATCAACATCTGCAATATTCTTCATTTCCAACTTGTCGACTCGTACCATTTGCTTGTTTAAGACTAATTTAATCCAGAAAAACTGGCCAAAGCATAATAACAGCATCACTGTTGAAATCAAGATGGTAGACTTAGTTGGTGAGCACATACGAGCAACTTTGTCTTCCATTTTGAAGGCGAAAGACATAGCAAGCTATGATCCCAACAACTGAATGTGATATGAAATGTAAAGTATGGCAAATTGTGCTGACAATTTTGTTTGTCTTCATAAACGTCACATCTATACAGTATGGACATCCTGTATGGTTGGTTCGCTAATCAGGTTTTTAACGGTAAAACAAATGGTGTCGTGGCTAGGGGCGTTGATAAATCGAAAAAGGGACGATATATATACTCCATCGTGTCTTTTTTACAAGTTTCTTTCTTATAACAGGTCTGTTGTGACTCGAACTTTCTGTAATCAGATGATACGGCTTGCTGTTTTCCTTCTTAGAAAGAGATGGTTTTAGCGAGATATTGTTTTTGAATAAAGTAAAAATTATGAATTCAAAAGCGAATTCAAAAGACCAATTTATTGAAAAGTATGAGGTGGTGTAAATTGAGTTAGCTGTCGACGCCTATTTGTCTAATTCTAATTAATCTTAGATGTATTACCCATGTACGTAGTAATTATCAATGAAATATATGCTGGTTTTCAAAAAACTGTTTACTTGTGAAATTAACACGCATATATTCGTGGTATCTCTATATATTGGTAGTAAAAAAGTGATTTTACAAAGTAAAAAAAAGCGACGACATAGCTTACGACATAATACGGTTTCATAGATGACTATATGATAAACATAATATTAGATGGTCGCTTGTAGATACGGATTTTATCACCTGTTTTAATCTCCTGTACATTTACTCTTGAGAGGTCTTTTCAACAATCGAAAAAAATGCGTATTTCCACGTACCCAAACTTGTAATATCCTCTATCTATATGAATATTTACTGTAAATAATGACACTAGCAAAATGGGAAAAAATTTAAAA